TGCGGCATCACGCGCTTCCTGTCCCAAAAACTGAGCTGGAGCTTGGTGAACTCCTTTCCGGTGAGCAGACTGCGAGGGACCTGGGTCCCCGCCCGGCCTGGTCATGTCTCCCCTGGCTTACAAAGGGTCCTGGGCTGGCCACCCAACCCCCACCCGAGGGGCTGTGCCTTCCCCACGAGCATGCGACAGGCAGGGCAGGTCCGTAGTGCCCAGCCCGGCCTCGGCTCTGACTCTGGCCCTCGCCTGTCCCTCTGCCCCCAGCACCATACTTTTTTCTGGGAGGGGCTGGATGGCTCCCGCGTGCTCGCCCACTTCCCACCTGGTGACTCCTATGGGATGCAGGGCAATGTGGAGGAGGTGAGGGGGCACCCGGGGGGCGCCGGGCGGGGGGCGGCAGGCTGGAGAGGGCTGGGTGTCCTGTCCTGGGCTGACCTGTGTTGCCCTGTGCCCGCCTCCAGGTGCTGAAGACCATGGTCAAAAACCGGGACAAGGGGCGGACCAACCACAGTGCCTTCCTCTTCGGCTTCGGGGACGGGGGCGGTGGCCCCACACAGACCATGGTGGACCGGATGAAGCGGCTGCACAATACAGACGGGCTTCCCAGGTCTGGCCTGGCCCCCCAGCAGCCTCAGCGCTGACCTTGCCCTTGCCCACAGCCCCGCTTTCCACTCAGAGGTTGGGCCCCTCCTCCCCGGACCTCCCTGGGGAAGAGCTGCAGTGGGAGGGGGCTTAAGTACCACCCCCGGAAGTCTCCTGGTGTGTCTGGAACTGGCTCCGTGTGGACAGGGGGCATGGGGGGGGGGCAGGAGGGCCTCTTGTCTGTCGCGGCCGGATCTCTTGTCCCCTCTGACATGGTGGGAGGGTGAGCCACGTGGCACCGCAAGGTCCAGCAACCCAGGCTGTGGGCTCCCTCAGGGTGCAGCTGTCTTCTCCGGGGCGACTCTTCTCCGCCCTGGAGGGTGATTCAGGCCAGCTGTGCACGTGGGTCGGGGAGCTCTTCCTGGAGCTGCACCAAGGCACCTACACCACCCATGCGCAGGTCGGGAGCTGCTCCCCGAGCCCAGTCCCAGCAGCGACAGGCCCCCGGGGAGGAGTAGCTGGGCCAGGGGCCCAGGAGGCGGGCGGAGTGTCCCTGAGGAAAGCAGCCACGGGACGAAGGGAGAAGTGTGGGGCCAGGCCAGCCAGGAGAGGCTTGAAGGGAGAAGTGTGGGGCCAGGCCAGCCAGGAGAGGCTTTATGCTGGCGGCCCCAGGGAACTGCAGGGCTCTGAGCACCTGAGGGCTTTGGAAGGTGCCCTGGGACAGATGCCCCCACCCTGCTCAGATCAAGAAGGGGAACCGGGAGTGTGAGCGGATCCTGCACGACGTGGAGCTGCTCAGCAGCCTGGCCTTGGCCCGCAGTGCCCAGTTCCTGTACCCGGCTGCCCAGCTGCGGGACTTGTGGAGGTCAGTCCGGCTTCGGCCTGCCGCCACCCTGACCTCCCCCGACACCTCTGTGGCTGCCCTCCTGGCTTCCCCGCATTCCCATCCCTGCGCTTGGCTCCTGCAGGCTCCTGCTCCTCAACCAGTTCCATGACGTGGTGACCGGAAGCTGCATCCAGCTGGTAGCAGAGGAAGCCATGTGCCACTACGAGGGTGAGGCCGATGACATTCCCGCTGCTGTCCCTGTCCCCGACGCCCAGGGCGGAGCCCAGAGTGTCCTGTGGGATCCTCAGGGGTCATCCCAAACCTACCACCTGCCCCTGACCAGCCAGCCTGTCCTCAGATATCCGTTCCCGTGGCAACATGCTGCTCAGTGCCGCAGCTGCAGCCCTGTGCATGGGGGAGCCAGGGCCCGAAGGCCTCCTCATCGTCAACACGCTGCCTTGGGAGCGCACCGAAGTGTTGGCCCTGCCCCGCTCTGGTGGGGCTCACAGCCTAGGTAGGAGCCGGGGGAAGGCTGTGGCTGCTGCAGGAGGGTGGGGGTACCACCCTGGGGTCCCCCCCATGAGAGGGGAGGGGGCGGGAGGAGCCACGTGCCCCACCCAGCCCTCAAGCTGGGCCCCCAGAGGTCAGGGAGGGCTGCACTGATGCCCAGGCATCATGCCCAGCCCTGGTGACAGTGCCCAGCATGGGCTATGCTCCTGCTCCTGCCCCCACCTCACTGCAGCCTGTGCAGCCCCAGCAGCCTGTATTCGTGGTGCAAGAGGTGAGTACGGCCGCCCCGGGCCATCCCTAACATGTGAGGGTTCTGAGCTCCCTAGGCGGAGCAAGCCATGAGGGTGGGTGGGCCACGGGTACTCTCAGCTGTGGGAAGACCCTGCAGACTCAGCTGCAGGACCTCTCCCACCAAGACTGACGGTTCTGTGACTCTGGACAATGGCATCATCCGAGTGAGGCTGGACCCAACTGGTTGCCTGACGTCCCTGGTGCTGGTGGCCTCCGGCAGGTGCTGACTCCTCACTGCCTTCTTCTGCCTGGCAGGTGGCTCCCAGACCCCGTTCCCTCTGTCCCCAGGCCACAGTACTGCCAGAGCAGCCCTCGGTGGCTCTGGACCCACACGGGGCAGGGCAGGCTGGGCCAAGGCCCCTGGTTCCCGGGGCCTACTTTCCTGGCCCCCACCCCACCTCAGGCAGCTGGAGAGACCATGGTCATAAAGTTCTGAAGCACCAGTCTCTGCATCCTTCCAGGGAGGCCATTGCTGAGGGCGCCGTGGGGAACCAGTTTGTGCTGTTTGATGACGTCCCTCTATACTGGGACGCATGGGATGTCATGGACTATCATCTGGAGACACGGTAAGGTGCGGGCAGGACCAGGGTGGAGTGGCCCCTGCCCCCGCCTGCCCTGGCTCAGCCCCGCCACCCCACACCCTCAGGAAGCCCGTGCTGGGCCAGGCGGGGACCTTGGCGGTGGGCGCCGAGGGCGGCATGCGGGGCAGTGCCTGGTTCCTGCTGCAGATCAGCCCCAACAGCCGGCTCAGCCAGGAGGTCGTGCTGGACGTCGGCTGCCCCTATGTCCGCTTTCACACCGAGGTACCAGAGGGCCGGGTGGCGGCCTCCCTCGGGTGTGCGGCTGGTGAGGAAGGATCGCCCGGCCTGCATGTCTGTCCTTCCACCCCAGGTGCACTGGCACGAGGCCCACAAGTTCCTGAAGGTGGAGTTCCCTGCGCGGGTGCGGAGCCCCCAGGCCACCTATGAGGTCCAGTTCGGGCACCTGCAGCGGCCCACCCACCACAACACCTCTTGGGACTGGGCTCGATTTGAGGTCTGACTCGGGGTGTGGGGCGCAGGATCCTGCCTGGTGGAGAGGAGACTAGCGCAGTGTGGTCAGGAGGGCGGGAATCCATGTTTGCTGGGCCTGTGTTAGGTGCTGTGTTCAGTCTGACACCCGTACCCATGGGTGGGGTGACCCCTTTGACAGAGGAGGACCTGAGGCCTAGACAGGTGGGACGGAGTGCCCAGGCTCCTGCGGTGGGAACCGAGCCCCTGTGGGGTCCCAGAGCTGGCCCTCATTGTAGCGACAGGCGCCCTGGGCACGGGAGGCCGCAGGGCCACCGAGCAGGGCCGGGGTCTGCCTCCAGGTGTGGGCGCACCGCTGGATGGACCTGTCGGAGCACGGCTTCGGGCTGGCGCTGCTCAACGACTGCAAGTACGGGGCCTCGGTCAGAGGCAGCGTCCTCAGCCTCTCACTGTGAGTGGGGCCCGCGGGCGCGGCGGGGCGGGGCGCGGCAGGGCGCAGGTCTTGGGGGCTTGCGGCCCATGCGCGCCCCCCGCACCGCAGCTTGCGGGCACCTAAAGCCCCCGACGCCTCCGCCGACATGGGCCGCCACGAGTTCACCTACGCGCTGATGCCTCACAAGGGTGAGCGAGGGGCCAGGAGCCCGCCCGCCCTCCTCCGAGCCTCCTCTCCGCAGCGCACCCACGCCCCCCCCCCCACCGCGCTTCCAGGCTCCCTCCAGGACGCGGGCGTCATCCGCGCGGCCTACAGCCTCAACTTCCCGCTCCTGGCGCTGCCCGCCCCGGGCCCCGCGCCCGCCGCCGCCTGGAGCGCCTTCTCCCTGTCGTCGCCGGCCGTCGTGCTGGAGGCGGTCAAACAGGCAAGGGGCGGGGCGGGCGGGGCCAGCGGCGGGGCGGGCGGGGCCAGCGGCGGGGTCCGCCCACCACCCCACCCACCGGCCGCCCCACCCCCTTCCCCGCAGGCGGAGAGCAGCCGGCAGGGCCGCACGCTGGTGCTCCGGCTGTACGAGGCCCACGGCAGCCACGTGGACTGCTGGCTGCACACGTCGCTGCCGGTTCAGGAGGCGGTCCTGTGCGTGGGGGCCCGCAGGGGGTGGGAGCCCCGTCCTGCCCTGCCCGTGCGGGGCCCTCATGCCACCGCCTCGCCTCTGTTCTGCAGCTGCGACCTCCTGGAGCGGCGCGACCCTGCTGGCCACCTGCCCCTTCGGGACGCCCGTCTGAAGCTCACCTTTTCTCCCTTCCAAGTGCAGTCCCTGCTGCTGGTGCTGGGGCCCGCCCGCACCGAGACCCTGCCCCTGGGGTTGTGAGCGTGGAGGGCTTCGGGGGTTCCTGGCTCCTGCCTCCCCTCCTGAACAATAAACCCATGACTCAGGAGCCCCGCCATAGTAGTGCCTGCGCACTCCCCCAGGGCCTGTCCTGGGGGGCTGGGGGGCAGGGCACGATCGGAGCTTACGCGTGTGCAGGGTCTGGGTTGCAGACACCCCCCACCCCCAGAGATTGGGGATATCGGTGACCAGAGCTGGCTGAGAGGAGGCCCAGATGGGGGGGGGGGTCCCTGGCCTCCCAACAGTTGGGCAGTGACTGGTGGCCGTGCTGGGAACTCTGGACTGGAAAGGCTGTGGGCGCCCGCTGCCTGGGCCCGGGTGTCTACACCACCTCTTGGCGGTACCGTCCTCCGGCCTCGGGGACTGGGATGGTCTGCCCCAGTGGCTCTCTGGTCTCCCAAGGCCAGGCAGCAGGTGCTCCCAGCTTGGCCTTCCCAGACCTTCTGCAGCCAGCCCAAGAAGTGCCACCAAGAAATTCAAGTTTATTCGTTTATAAAAAAAAATCACAGCATCTTTTGTATGGGCTTAAAAAATGGAGAAGGTGGGGGTATACTCAAAAACATCATAGCGGGGCAGGGAAGAGCTACACGGCCAGGGGCCCCCAGCCCCCAGCAGCTAGGGCCTGCTTGCAGCCAGCTACCCGGGCCCCTGGGCTCTGCAGGGGCAGGAGGTGGACGCCAGCGGGGAGGCCCTCCTGCTAAGAGGCTGACATCCCCTCCTTCTCCAAGGACGGGGTGTCAGCCTTGATCCTTTGAGGTCTTTGGTGGCCTGGGAGGAGGACAGGTGGGACAGCAGCTCAGACCAGGAGGAGGACTGCTCCTGCGGCCTCCCCGCCCCCACCTCTGTGCGTGGGCCACCCCCTCCTCTCCCCAGGGGAACCTCTTCCCCAGGGGAACCTGAGGAAGGCCCACCCGAGGCTGCTGGTTGCCTCCTCCTCCTCCCCTTCACGGGGGCTGGGGGCACTTCTGGGTCCTGCTGGAGGCTGGTCCCCTCTGGCTGCTGGGCTGTACCTTGCTCAGGAGGGCCTCTCTGTGCCCCACGTGACCTGGAATGGGCCGCGCTTGGAAGGAGAGGGTCCTGAGTAGAGGAGACACAGGTCCCCAAGGGGCTCAGTGGGCAGTCCAGAGGTGGATTAGGACCCACGGTTGCCCCTCACAGTCAAGGGAAGGCGGGGAGGGTGCAGGGAGGAGGTAGGAGCAGGGAGCCATACCTCCGTCCTGTGCTCCGGCCCCTGCTGCGCTCCCTTGGATTTCTTCTTGCGGGACTTTCCTCCTGTAGGACACGGACACTGGGGTTGGAGGGTCCTGTGGCCTCAGCCCCCTCTGCAGACTCCCACTATGGGGTGACTCCCGGGGGTGGAGCAGGGACTGGGATGGAGAAGGGTGATGTAGCTCCTGCAAGCAACTAGTCCTTCCTGCTCTCTTAGCTTATCACGTTAGGGATCTTACCTTTGGGTGCCAGGGGCCCAGGATCCCCCTAAAATGGAATGAGAATTCAGGAAGCAACCTGGTTGGGGCAGGGGCAGTTTTCCTGGGGAGTGGGGTGGGGCAGAGCTCGCACCTGTCCTTCCAGTCAGCTCCCTCTGGCCGCCCCGTGCTCTCCAGGGGAGAGGCCACCCTGCCTCCGGCTGCACTACCGAGGAGGAGGGGCCTACATGGGGCGGGCCTGGGCCACCAGGCACAGTGTGACCCTTGGGGGCCTCGACAGGCCCTGGACGTCACCTGGGAGACCCCAGCTCTCCTGCCCCCCCCCCCCCACTAGCTTCCTGGGTCTCCATTTGCCTATATGTGAGATGAGGCCCCAAACCTGGAACCAGATGGTCCGGCCTCGCCGGTCCCGCAGAGAGCTCATGCCCGGCACGCCGTAGCACCGCAGCCATGCTCGAAAGGCAGCAAAGTCCTCCTCTCCACTCTCGGGCCCGTACCCTTTGCCCCCTGTGGGACAGAGGGACCAGGCCAAAGTCAGAGGGTGGACCCCGGCTGCGAGGAGGGAGAGCCTGGCCGACCTGGCCCAGACCTCAGCCCCATAGCTGATGGGCTGAGTCAGGGGTCAAGGCTCCCCTCATCCAGGCGCCCTCGGGCTGTGGCTCCTGCCGGCGCAGGCAGGACAGCAGCTGCCGGCCACCCGCAGCCACCCGACGACCACCGACATGCTGAAGCAGGGGTGGCTAGCCCCCGCGGCTGCGGGCCTCACCCAGCTGGACCACTTCCTTGGGCACCGAGTGACATAGTTCCAACAGGTCCGGGCTCTGCAGCTTAGCCCTGATCTTCTGGCTCAGGGTCTGCTCCGGGCTCTGGAGGAGGGGCAGAGGCGGCTGAGCTAGGGGGGACTCGGGAACCCACCATCAGCCCCCCATGGCGCGGACGCAGGGCAATGGGCCCAAAGCCCAGAGGGGCCTGCGTGAGCCACACTGGAGACCACAGCCCACCGGGCCCTGCGTGCCCGTGCCCTCACCGGCCTGCGCTGCCGCAGCGCCTCCAGCACCGTGCGGGCCTTCTCGAACGGGGGTATCCCCAGGCTGCAGTGGGTGGAGAGGGAGCCAGCTAAGCAGCGGGCACGTGGGAACGCCGCCCCCCCCCCCACCGGCCCCGGGGTGGCCTGCTGACCGGTGCAGGATCTCCGCCCGGAGGTAGTTGCCGATGCCATTGAAGAACCTCTGGTCCAGGAGGGCCTCGCAGATGGGCTGCTCAAAGGCCTTGTCCGCCAGGTTTCGTAACACGTTCTCCCTGGAGGGACACAGCCGGGGGCTGCTGCGCATGCGTGGGCCTGGGAGCAAGGGGAAGGAGCGTGGTGCCCCCGCCCCACCTCAGGGCCGCTCTGGCAGTGGGATCCACGCCCTGGCCCAGGGGAGCACCAGCAGGAGATTCGAACTCTACAGAGGTGAGGCTGCCAGTGAGCAGCAGCGTGTTCCAGGAAACGCCCAGACGTAGACCCTGCGCGTCCGGCACCAAAGGCCGCAGGGCCGCCCCGGAGCGGGGCCCAGGGCGCGGGGTGCACCCCCTGGGCCTTGAGGGGTAGGGCGGGGCGTCTGGCCCTGCTGGGCGCCTTCTCTCAGGACCTGCAGGGAAGCTAGTAGCAGCTCTGAGCAGGGCTGCGGTGACAAGTCCTGGCTCCGGCGCCTGCAGGGATCACAGATCACTCCCCACCCACAACAGGAAGCGCATCTAGTTTCTTTGTGGGAGGGGATCGCAGTGGGCCGGCTCAGCAGCAGAGGCCAGAAGCCCAGAGTTTGGGGGACAGGGTGACAGGCCTCAGCGGCCGGCCGCGAAGGGAACAGAGCCCCAGTGCTCCCCAGCTCGGAGGACAAGAGGGCAGCCCGAGGGCTTGTCATGTGAGACAAACCTCAGGACGTCGCCGGGGCATGACTCCAGGAGAGAGGATGGGAGTAATCCAGGACGACAGACGCTTCCCTGGGGTGCGCTCGCGGGAGCCTGGCAAGGCCGGCAGGAACCCAGTGGCCTCTGTCGTGCTCAAGACACCGGAGCCACCATAACCAGCGGCAGGTGTAGGGACCGAGGCAAAGCCCAGCGGCGCTAGGTAGGGCGGGCCTGCCCAGCCCACGCAGGCCTCCGAGGGGGCTCATCGCCCACAGTGCTCTCCCTCTAAAGCTTTGCAGGGCTGGCTCCTGCTCCTCAGCCGGCTGGTGTCGCCCAGAGCGCTCCCCCCCCCCCCACCAGTCACTCTCTACCTTGGGCTTTTCCTTCAGGCATGTGTCTACTTGAGTCCATCTACTTAGTTTCCTCCTTCCCCGCCCTCTCCGCACTTCAGCCCGGTGGCAGCAGCGTCCTGGTCCATCCTGGTCACTGCTGCCCCCCAGCACCCGGAAGAGGGCTTGGCCCGAAAGAAACCCCTACACGCTCCCCCTTTAGCGGAGGGGAAGGGTATGGCACCTGCCCTCCTCGGTGGCCGCATCATGTCCCAGGTGGGGCTGCTTCCCCTCGCAGAGACCAGGGGACTGTCACGGACAGGGGCGGGCAGAGGGTGGGAGACCCCAAACCCGCTCAGAAGCCGCAGCAGCTCCCTGCGCTGCCTTCTGCCTTCCTGCTCCGCGTCCCCCCTCCTAGGCTGTGGGAGCCCCGCTGCTGTCAGCCCCACCGCCGCGCCACGCTGAGCGCGGCTGAGACTGGACTCCCGCTGCCGGTCTCGTCTTCCCCACATCCGTTTGGGGCGCCACACCCGTTAGCTCAGGGAGCGGTCCCCAGGGTCCCCAGAGTCACACGAAGGGGCTGGGGGGGCGGGCAGAGCCGGCCCGGGACCGCGCGTGTGCTCGTGGCACCTGGCACCTGGCGCCGCGCCCCCCGCGCCCCCCGCGCCCACCTGAACCGCTCGTACTCCAGCAAGACGCAGGGCCCGCGGCCTGGCTGCCACTCGCCCCCGAGGTGCCAGCGGCCGAAGCGGCGGGCGTCCACGAAGCAGAGCGCGAGCCGCGGGCCCGGCGGCGCCGTGTAGAAGCGCAGGTGCGCGTGGGCGGGCAGCTCGTCCCCGGGCGCCAGGCGGAAGGAACCCGTCATGCCGAATCGGAAGACCAGGGCCAGCGGCTCCCGCGCGGGCTGGGCCCCGGGCAGGGGGCGCAGCGCCAGGCGCAGCTCCTTGCCGCGCGCCGAGGCCGAGATGCGGTAGGCGCTGCTCTCGAAGGGCACCGCGGGGCCGCGGCTGCAGCGCGACGTCTCCACGGCGCCGCCGAACACCAGGCCCGCGCACGCCGCGTTCACAAAGCGGCTGGCCAGGTGCAGCTCGGGGCCCTCGGGCATCCTGGGCGCAGGCCGCCTGCGGGCAGCACCGGGGCCGCCGTCAGCTGGCGCGGCCTCTGGCCCCGCACCTCACAAAAGGGGCCGCGCGGGCAGGGGGTGCGCCGGGCGCGGGGAGCCCAGGCCGGGAGGGGTCCCCCTCGCTTAACCCGAGCCCGCGGCGTTCAGTACAACACGGCCCCGCAGGCACCCGCCCCCCCCCCCCTGCCCAGGGCGAGCTCCGGGGCTCCGGGCTGCACTTCCAGCGCCCGCCTGCGGCCGATCCCCAGCAGGGCCCCGAACCCCGACCCCCGACCCCGGGAGGACCCGCGAGGACCCCGCCGCCGCCACCCACCGTCAGAGCCGAGCGAGGACGCGGACGGGGACGAGGGAGACGCGTCCAGGCGCACCTCGCGGGGAGCCGCAGGCCTCGGTCCTGGGGGCGCAGGCAGGGCCCAGGTCAGCGCCCAGGCCCCGGGAAGCCCCTCCGGCGAGCGGGACAGTCGGCCGCTCTCCTCCGGGGCCTGCCCAGGTCAAGGCCAGGTTGGGGGGAGGGGGTCCCGAGAGAGGCACCGAGCCAGGGAGGGCAGGTCCCGCACCCCTGTCCCCTCTTGGCTCAGCGCCCCAAAGGGTTCGATCCTCTGGGACAAGGTGCCCTCCTCTCCTCTCCCAGCCCCTCGGCCCGTCCTCCGCCAGCCCGGGGCGCCCCCCACCCCCCAGCCCCGCTGCACCCCGGACCCCCACCTGCTCCCCGCCCCGTCCTCCGCCAGCCCGGGGCGCCCCCCACCCCCCAGCCCCGCTGCACCCCGGACCCCCACCTGCTCCCCGCCCCGTCCTCCGCCAGCCCGGGGCGCCCCCCACCCCCCAGCCCCGCTGCACCCCGGACCCCCACCTGCTCCCCGCCCCGTCCTCCGCCAGCCCGGGGCGCCCCCCCACCCCCCAGCCCCGCTGCACCCCGGACCCCCACCTGCTCCCCGCCCCGTCCTCCGCCAGCCCGGGGCGCCCCCCACCCCCCAGCCCCGCTGCACCCCGGACCCCCACCTGCTCCCCGCCCCGTCCTCCGCCAGCCCGGGGCGCCCCCCCACCCCCCAGCCCCGCTGCACCCCGGACCCCCACCTGCTCCCCGCCCCGTCCTCCGCCAGCCCGGGGCGCCCCCCACCCCCCAGCCCCGCTGCACCCCCGGCCCGCACCTGCTCCCCGCCCCGCGGCCCGGGTTCTGAGCCCCGGGCGGGTTCCCGGGGACCGGGCCGCGTCGAAGAGCACGCCGGGAGCCGAGGTCGCCGCGCAGGGCCCGCCGGGAAGTGTAGTTTCCGGGCGGGGTGGGCGCCCGGGAGCGGGAAAGGCCGCGGGGGCAGGCACCCGGCCGGGCGGTGGCCCAGGAACCCGGCTTCCCGCTGCCCGGCGCCCGCGGGGGTCAGGTCTGAGGTTCGGATGGCGGCCGTGCAGTGGCGGGGCAAGGCTCCGCCCGGACGCGGCGGCAAGGTCCCCAGGGCGCCCGGGCCGAGGCACCTGCAGCTGCAGGCCCTGGGGACCCGGCGCGGCCCCCGAGGGTCCAGGCAGTCAGACGTGACACGTTAACAGAAGCGCCGTCACTGCCTGCCGGCGACACCCCCTGCGGGAGCAGAGCCCACCGCAGCCGGCCCGCTGGGGGCCCCCACCCGGGCTAGAGCCTCGCAGGGGCAGCGGGCGGAGCGGCTGCAGGACAGCCCGCAGTCGAGCCCGCAGCCCACCCCGCAGCCCAGCCCGCGTCTGCCCGCCGCCAGGTGACGGGCTGCAAGGCTCGGGAGGCCTCCGGGCCCCAGCACCGCGCCGTTCCCAGCACATACACCCCCCACCTGGAGGCTTTATTCCCCTGAGGAGCCCTGCCTCAACCAAGAATTTAACCGGGAATTACAAAAACGGTGCTTCCGTCCTTCTTTGTATCTGGGCTGGAATTCTTCCGTAAAGAAGAGCTTTCTGGGGGATCCCTGGGTGGCGCAGAGGTTTGGCGCCTGCCTTTGGCCCAGAATGCGATCCTGGAGACCCTGGATCGAATCCCACGTCGGGCTCCCGGGGCATGGAGCCTGCTTCTCCCTCTGCCTGTGTCTCTGCCTCCCTCTCTCTCTCTCTCTCTGTGACTATCATAAATAAAAAAAATTAAAAAAAAAAAAAAAGAAGAAGAGCTCTCTGGTTCTCCTGCAGTGTTACAAAGGCAGGATAAATTCTGAATTCCTTCCCACTAGTGATCGATTTTCAGACTAAGAAGAATTGGGTGCAGTAACAACCAAGAGTGACAAAGTAGGACTCATTTGGGATTTTTTTCAAGGGGGGGTGGGGGTCAGGACTTTGTCTCTTTTAGAGTCTTTTCTATTACAGACTCCTGGATTTTTTTTACATTCAACATCTGTAAATCCGCCGCTGTCTCTATCTTCCGCCCCATTTACCAAAGGAGGGCTTGTTAGGCACCAGGACTCCGCACACAAGAATGCAATTCCCATTCTTAAGAAACTCAGGAGGGTAAAAGTGGCAAATGGGTATAAACACGATCACAATGTCACATTATGACAGTAAGGAGAGAAGTACCTGTGGGATTCTGTGACACCACAGAAGAGGGGACGCTACCTGGGAAATCCAGCTAATGTTAAACGTTTGAGGAGACTTACAATTCCCTTGTGACTTTCTGCTACTTTATTTCTGTTGATTCCACTTCTCATTTTTTTGTCGTCTTCTTGCTCTCCCGCGGGCTACCTGAACGTGCAGGACCCCAGTAGGACTTCTCAGTACTGTTTTTGAGTGTAGTGCATTGCACAGCCTTTGAAGTCGTTGTTCTAGAGGTTACACACGCATACCTGTCACAGTTCACTGGTGTGGACATTCTAAGTGTAGAAACCTTACCTTCTTTTACCCTTTCCTGTTTACGATAATCTGACCTATTTCCTCTACAAACTTGGAGAACCACATCCAACAACGTTACAGGTTTTGCTCCAACCCTTGAACAGAACTTAAAATGCTCAAGGACAGTCTGTGTCCGTAACTCCACTCCTTCTGTTGTTCTTCCTCCCTGATGTTCCAAGATTCCTTATCATTTCCTCCTTTCGCCTTTTGATTTTTAGGTTGGGTCTGCTGGTGACAAATCCGTTATCCTTCATCTGAGCATATCTTGGTTGCCTCCGACTCCTGCGGTTCTGTTCACTGGACACAGAATTCCCAGTTGACACTTTCAGGACCTGAAAAATGTTGTCCTTCCTTTTGGCCTCTGTGGTGTCTGAGAAGAAATCCACTCATTTGAATTGTCTTTTCCCCTGTAAGTTATTTCTCACTTGCAGCTTTCAAGATTTTTGTCTGTTCTTTGTTTTTTTTTTTTAAGATTTTATTTATTCATGAGACATACACAGAGGAAGGCAGAGACACAGGCAGAGGGAGAGGCAGGCTCCATGCAGGGAGCCTGACATGGGACTCGATCCCGGGACCCTAGGGTCACACCCTGAGCCCAAGGCAGGCACTAAACCACTGAGCCACCCAGGATCCCCTGTTCTTTAGTTTTCAGAAGTTTGTGGCATAAGGTACCTTGCCATGATTTCTTTGGGTTTACCCTGTATGAGATTCATTCAGCTTGACTCTGTAGGTTTAGGTCTTTTGCCATAGGAGGGACATTTTTAGCCATCATTTCTTTGCATACTTTTTCTGTCCCACCCTCTTTCTCCTTACCTTCTAGGACTCTGATGACGTTAATATTAAATCTTACTTACAGTCCTGCAGGCCCCAGAGGCTGTTTTATTGTTTTCTGTGTGTTTATTTTCCAAGCTACTCTCTGTTCATATTGGGTAATTTCTTTTTTTAAAAAAATTTTTTTTATTTATTTATGATAGTCACGGGGGGGGGGGGCAGAGACACAGGCAGAGGGAGAAGCAGGCTCCATGCACCGGGAGACCCACGTGGGATTCGATCCCGGGTCTCCAGGATCGCGCCCCGGGCCAAAGGCAGGCGCCAAACCGCTGCGCCACCCAGGGATCCCATATTGGGTAATTTCTACGATTGTCTTCAAATTCATTCATTCTCTCTTCTGTTCAGTTCATCCATTCATTTTTACTTTGATGATTGTAGATTTCAGTTCTAAAACTTCTGTCTTTGTATCTTTTATTTCTTTAATACTTGAGGGAAAAAAAAAAGACTTGAGGCATTTTTATGATGGCCACCTTAAAATCCTTGGCATAGAAGTTGGAGTTCTCTTGGTGTTGGTATCCGTTGTCTTTTCTCGTTCAAGTTGAGATTTTCTTGGTTCTTGGCATTTTGTTTTTGTTAAATCCTGGACATTTGAGGTATTGAGACTCTGGATCTTACTTAGAGCTTCTTGGAGCATTTGGATGGCTCAGTTGGCCAAGCATCTGACTCTTGATTTTGGCTCAGGTCGTGATCTCAGGGTCATGAGACAGAGCCCCAGGTCAGACTGCACTGAGGTGGAGCCGCTTAAGATCCTTCCCTCTGCCCCTCCCCCACTCCCAAGCTCTCTCTTAAAAATGTAAAAAATCTTCTCTTTTAGGAGGGCTCCTCTGACGCAGTGACGGTGGGGTGGAAGAGAGGCTGCAGTTCTCCGTGGTGTGACCGGAGGACAGCAGTCACCATCTCTAGGTCTCCTGTATTGCCAGATGGTCCCTTTCCTGGTCCTTTGGCTCAGGGGGCATGGTTGGGGCTGTGTGTGTGCGGGTGTGTCTCGGGTTGCCAGTCTCCAGCACTTGGCCCAGGCCACATGCAGCAAAAAGAAAACCGAAGGACTACTCTGCCCTGTTGTTCTTCAGTTCCTGAGGATCTTAGCCGGTCTGTCTTTCCTTCACCTTTTAGAGTTTTAGTTTTGTTTTCTAAGTAATGTCCAGGTGTTCAGCTGTGCTTAGTGGGAGAAAGAGAGGCAAGTGCGTGTGCTCCATTTCTCCAGCAGCCGAGGTCAGGACTGGAGTCGGTCCTCAACTTTTTGCTGCTTCAGCTGTCCCACCTTAGGCCAGGAGGACAAGCTGGCTCCTTTTGACAGGGCTCATTATTCTCCGGTAGCTTCCCTGTCCGCCAAGATGTTCTAGGCCCCTGTCTCAGTCAGCTCAGGGTGCGAGAACAAAATCCCACGGACCGAGCGGCCTAAAGAACATTTATCCCTCATGGTTCCAGAGGCTGGGAGGCCCACGGTCAAAGAGACGGCCGGTCTCGTTCTCGGGGAGAGCCTTCTGCTTTGCTGTTCTCGTGGGGCCTTTTCTGGGTAGTCGTTCTCTTGGTATACTCCGGTCACGAAGGTCCCACTCTCATAACCTCATCTGAACCTGGTGACTCTCCAAAGGCCCCGTATCTCCTAAAACTATCTCATGGGGTGGTGGTGAGGGCTCTGACATATGAATCTGGGGGGGGGGGGCGAACATTCAGTCCCGAACCCCACTTCTCTTGCCAATGAGTGGTTCAGGCAGGGGCCCTCCTCTCTTCCAATCGAGGAGGCAGGAAGAGCAGGGCTCTCTCCTTTCTCTATGGGGCGCCTCTGGCCGGGGCCACATGCTTGCGGCCAGCCCGCGGACGAAGCAGCGCAGGAGGCAGAGCCACGAACGTCACAGGACTGGCAGCGGGAGCCCTGGTTTTCTGTCTAGAGACAAGCTGTGCCATTTCAGTCCTCGTTCCGCCTCGACCAGCAATCGAAGAGAGAAAATAAGGAACGGGTCAGGGAGGTCTGCAGGCCACTTGGTTTCTCTCACAAAACCTTTCATCTGAACCCAAAAAGAAACCTGTGCACACACTGCTTTACACTAGTTTATTCTTCCTGCTTGTGGAAACTGCTGACAAGTGCCTTTCGTGGGGGAGGGAAGGCAACGTGGAGAAGTCCCCGGAATCCTTATGCTGCGTTCTCAGGGGGGAACCCAGCAAGCCAGGCCTCCAGGGTCCTGGAGCCGGGCCGGCTGTGGGGAGTGGGGAGGGCGGCCTTCTCCTCAGCCCAGGTTGTTCATCAGGGTCTGAGCCTGCTTCAGTTCTGCAGGGGAAGAGGTGGGCAGGTGGGTGGCAATCAGCAGGGGTCCGGGAGGCCCCTTCCCCCTCCAGGTACAGCCTAGTCTCACCTGCCAGGAGGACCTGGAACTTGTCTGCTGAGAGGGACATGGCCACAGGCTGGGCCGGGGCACCCGAGGAAGCCGCCACCTCCAGCCTCAGGTGCACCATGGGCTCTTCCACAGACCGGAGCAGGCTGGAGCTCAGGGTGTAGTCCACCCGCCAGCCCACGCCTGCCAGCCTATTCACTGTGACACGGCGTAGGGCTCTCAGGAT